GCTGATGTCAATACGAATGTAACGGCAGGATTTCCCAATCCCACAACGTTTCCAATCGCTACAGCAACCTTTGGCTTGAAGTGAGTACATATATTCTACTGCAGATAAAAACTTTACATGTAGCAATAGCCTCTAAAGGCCTACACAGAGTCCCTGTAAAGTTTCTAAGTATGGATACACTAAAGTAAATGAGTAAATTGCAGTAGAATTGTTGGCCTGTCTCTGTTTTGGGTATTTACATAATTGCAAGGTGGCTCTCTGGTTTCCCTTGTAAGAGCTCCTGCATCACACACCCTCCTCAATGTTTTCATTGACATTTGCTTAGCTTAGCTTCTATGTTGGCCTACTCTCTGATACATCTACATTTAATTCATTTCTCGGGAAAAACAGGTTATGAGGACAATAAATTCTTAGTAAACAAAGTAAGAAACAGTTACAGTGAGTAACATGAATTCCAATCAGCTCCCAAAGGATCGCCCAAAAGAAATAAATTCTGTCAAAGGGCTCTCCAGACTAATTGAAATACAAACACATACTAACCGACATAATTAAAAAGGTTAAATTAACCAAATTAAATTAGATAAAGTTAACTGATAGAATAAGTTATTTGAATTTCAATTGCATAATTACTGATATATACAGTGTACATATTAAAATATTAAAAAAAAGCACTTCATTATACCAAAAACAAACAAGTGGATAAATACATGATTAGAAAGCCAGAGAGATGGGTTCTGGGTTAAACAAGTGGTCGCGTAAAGAGCGGAAAAGTTCATTTGGAGAGGGTAGAAGACACAAATTCGGGAGGCTAGAAGGAAGAGTGTTGAACAACCTGCAGAAAGAAACAAACAGAGAATATTTAAGGCAGTTGGTCCAACTGCACTGGTGACTGAAGAGCAAGACATCAGTTTTCCTTGCATTTGACTGGGGAAGGAGGGTAGAAGGGTCATCCGTGTGTCTGTGGAGGCATTTCACAACAAAAGCCACGCATGCTCAAGTTGATTAACCTGTTATAGATGGGTGGGAGATTAAGTTCCTGCAAACATTGTTCATAAGAGTGGGGGTGTACAATATTATTCGGAAAGCATGATTTTGTAAATCGGTGCTATGCTGTCTCAAGGCACTGGATTTGATTCTTAAGATGAGAGAGCCAAATCGGAGTTGCATATTCTAAAACAGTCCTACTGAGAGAAAAGAATAAGTTAAGTACACTTTTGTTACGGGTTTTAAGAGTGGGGTGAATGAAACCAGACATTTTAGAGCATTTGGTTCTAACCATATCTACATGTTTGTTCCAAGTTAAGTCATCAGAAAATATAACTCCAAGGTATTTATAAGAGTGGGAAAACTGCATGGGTTTATCAGAGCCTGTTAGATAGTAAGGTGTAAGAGACTGCTTCCTTTGAGTGGGTTATATGCATTACTTTGCACTTATTAAACGAATTCAGTTGCATGCAATTTTCTTTACACCATTCACTAATCAAGTTGAGATCTTCCTGTAGAATTACACTGGCCTTATTGGTGTTGGTGATTCTATACAACTGTGTCATCAACATATTGGGGTAATGGTGACTGTACAAGGTTAGCCAAGTCCGCTGTCATTCGTGATTGGTGGTACATGAGAAGATCTGATGTTAATTAAAACAGGTCAAAAGTTGGTCTTGTTATGTACATGTACAATGTACATGAATGTTGATCCACTGGAGCTCGATTTGTGCAGAAATTGACAAGACAACTATGGTTAGTACCAATCTCCTTACAGCACCGACAAATTAGCACCACCGTGACCACAGGATACAGTTTATAACTGTTTTATTCTAGGAGTGGTCACCGACACTTGTAACAACTGTTTATATACAGCGCAAGGACAAAGTTACAGTTTTAGGAGAAATGTATTTGATCATTAAATAATATACAATGAAAACAAAATTATACAAGTGGGGAATAGTTACTACATCAAACAGGGAATCTGTAGCCCCCAACGATGAAGATACTTCAGCCAACTGTGGCAATCAACTTGGACAACCTCCAAAAACTACCACAAGTCGCTTAGAACGAAATGAACCTCGCTTCATAATTTCATTGCTCAAGTAACTGACAACTTATTAGTGATCAAATCTTGTATGTACAAAGATGCATCTTTGGAGGCTGAGGACTTCCAGCCCCCTTGTTGTTTGATACACCTTTCATTAACAGAAGGATCGGAAGCAGCCTCCAATGCTCCCCTGGTCATAAGCTGTGTGTACCGATTTCAGAGGAGGCGTCGATGTACAATGTATGGCGTAAGACCCCTAAGGATGAGATCCCTGACTGTGCTTTTGGAATGCAGCTTGGTCGTAGGTTTAAGTCCGTGTTTGCTTCGGCAAAATCCACAAACTGGTTGAGAAGGTACATGAGACACACCCAGCATTATATGNTAAGCACTGTATGCTCAGTGCTTGTCTGAGAGCTTGCGAAAAAACCTCACAAGCTTACTCGGTAGGGACTCAAACCCACGACCTCCTGCTTACTAGTGCAAATGTCTTAACCACCGAGCTTGCCGGGGTCGGCTGGCCGGTCCGAGTCAAATAAAGCAGCGGGTACCGCGAACCATTTTCAAGGTGTATTTTTGCGTTGGGGAGCATTGCTTTGTAACGTTCAAAAACAGCTACTGGGCAAGTAGGATTACCGGTCGATCCTGGCGATGTAAACTCTATGGCCTTCTCTGTACTGATCATTTTTCCTTTTCTCCAAATACACATGCACTGTCATATGGTCCCCACCACCATCAAGCATGGTGGTGGCAACATAATGCTATGGGGTTGCTTCTCTTCGAGTGGCACTGGGAACCTCATTAAGATACAGCCTAGTGACTAGCGCCCTCTGTCACGTCACAATATAGTGGAAGTACATGTGTACCAACATAATAGCTTTTACAAATGAGATGAAGAATTTAGAAAAGTATGTTATTTTCCAAAGGGTATGAATACTTTTGAGCACAACTGTAGTACATGTAGAGTACCACAAATGATGTCAAGTTTTAAGGCTAAGAAAACTAAACATACCAGTCCAAAGTTTGAAGAGACATGTATCGTGAAAATGTGTTGACTCCACGGTGGACACATATGGAATGTGGTCTATCCTACTGGTATATATTATAGCAAAGTGCTAAGAGAAGGCCAACAGTGAAACTGCATTGTCATGACTTCAGTTATCCACCACGTAAATAAACAGGACATGCTTGCTGGGGGTTATATCAGTCAAGATTTCAAGAGGTTGGAATGGGATCTGACAAACCTGCTCCCTGTTACATACAGGGAGCAGGTTTGCCAGATCTGAAATTAACAGACTTCTATGCATATGAGTAAAAGGAAACTCTGGTTGGTTTTGCTTTTTAAAATGCATGCGAATAGCATGCAAATTGTGTATTTATTAGTTACTATATCCTTCCTTCATGCTATATAGAAACATCTCATTAGTACCCTCAAGCAATTGGAAGTGATTATCAATCTGTTGTTTCTGCCACTTGTCTTATATAAGGTGTCATATGTCAATTACGCAAAATGTCATGTCCGTTATGCCATTTGTATGAAAACTAGAAGTGGTTAGGAATAATAATTGCTACACATTTAAGGAGATATAATCCTAACATACACAAAGAAACTGAATTTGCGAATTTCATGTTGGCTATTAAAACTTATGGTGAAATGCGTAATGGACATGACACCTCTAATGTTAAAGAGCAGCTCCGAGAGAACATGTTTTCTCTGACTTTATTTGTTCATACATTGAAGCGTCCAAATTGAACACACTGTCATTCGTCTTCAGAGCTCAAGTATAACAAGCCAAAGGGTTTTTGTTTCTGTCCATGCAAAGCTGTGAATTCTGAATGCAGACGCGTCATTCGGAGAAACAGAGAAAACGAGGGGAACTCTCGTCCTGTCACGGTTCATAGTGGATAAGCTGTTGTGCATGTCAAACTATGGCTACATTTGCATCTTGGCGTGAACAGATAAAAGCCCTTTTTAGCTTGTTATAGTTGAGCTCTGGAGACAAATGACACTGCGTTCAATGTGGACACTTCCATACTTATTTGAACAGATAAAAATCAGAGAAAACATGTTTTCCTGAGAGGTGCTCTTTAAAGAAATCACACAACTTTGAGGATCAATGGCTCAAAAATTGAAGAATGATATAAAATCCATTGTGATTTTCTGTTGATATAATACACTGAACTACTATTCAAAAGTTGAAGGAGACCTCTAGGACATTTTTTGCCTTCTTTGGAGATGGGAAGAATAAACTCTTCAAAAACAGCCACATTTCTGTGTTATTGCGATACATTATATACAATATTTTCACTGGTGGTAAAATACAAATTTTTGTGGTAATAATGATGTGTCTATTGGAAAATGAAAATTGACACGTTACTTTTTAAGAATATTTAAGAGCTTAAGTGCAATTTGAAACTTTAGTTTTTCACTGAAGTGAACATTTTTCATGGAACTGCCCATTTCAGGGATGGCACACAGATACAGCTCACTGAGGAGGAAATGGGAGTAGTGCTTCAATATGGGAAAACGAAAGGGTAAGTCCTCAGATAATAAATAAACTCATGTCACACAGGTGTCTGAGGTTTTAACGTGAACACCTATTGTCCAATTGTAGCAAATAGATGATCTCTGGCCACTGGTTATGTGTGAATTTCTTGATTAATGACCCTTAACTCCTGAATGATGATGTTGATACATGTAAATTGAGAGAGTGCTAAAATGTGGGCTGGATAGCCTGCCGTATAGAAGAGGCAGTAGCAGGTTGCAGTTTTAAATCCTGTTTCATTGAATTTGTTACAGTTGTACTTTTTGTGTCTGTGTTGAGTCTCCAGTTACAATATGACAGATAAGTAGGCAGACAGGTTATGAGCCATGGAGGGTCCTCATGTGGGAATGAAAACTGACCTTCATGGCTCACAAGGCAAAAGCAGGGTGCTGCTTCCTTCTCTCATTTCCTGGATGGCAGTTGCTCTGTTGGATATTGGAATGTCATGTACATGCCCTGACTGCACTGGTGTCTCCAGGGATGTTGTGTCAATAGACAGTGCCAATATCACTGCTCTTGAGTTGGTCTTCAGCGCACCCTGAGATCTCTTGAAAGGTCTCATTCCTTGTGCATGATGCCACTGATGATGTGTCTGGTGTCTGTTCAGCTGCATGTCATTTTGGTTGTCATCTGAACAGTTTGTTCCATCCATTGCAGCTGGCACCTGATGACATGGATGAGAAGACACTGCTAGTGACCCTCCTTTTTTTGTAACAGTCACTGTCAAAATACCTTCTACTTGTTTTGCCACGGTACACAGAGACATAGGGGTCATTTGACAAATTTTGACTAACAGGTGGACTTTGTCAAGAATGCATCTTTGCATAGAAAAGTTAATCTTGTAAAACTTGCAAATGTGACTGCATGTCCCCAAAACAATATCAACCAACCAGTGAAAAAACATAAACCTCAATCCTCAAATCCCTCATCAGTACCCAGATATTAATTACTGAAAGAAGATGTCTGATGGTGTTATTGGCATTCAGGATGGCTTGCATTTGACATTTGATTTGGTGGGAAAAGAATTTGTGTGAGCTGAGAATTTCCTGACTGCTGCATCAATGCCTTTTTCTTGTAAGAATATCTGACAACCGTCGTCATCAGAGACTACACCTGTAGATTGTGTGTCTCTCAGCCACAGCAGCTCACACTCTTTTCCCATGTTTTTGTCTTGCTTAATACCAGACAGGACAACCTTCTTGAGCTCCTTTACAAGATGCAGTGTGAGGAGCATCGCCCTCCTACAGTGGCTCTGGAGGCAGGGCCGAGCAAGATGAGCATCTTAATGTCTCCTGGAGCACAGATGGCACTCGCATCGGTGAGTAAAAGATGATGTGAATCCTTGCAATGAAATTTCCTTGCAGTACTTCAGACAGTGTTTGGAACTAAAACTGCATCCGAATCTGTTGTCGAGGGCCAGGTCACGTCTGGGTCTTCACCCCATTAATAATACATGTATATGCACAGGTGTGCAGACAGTAGATCAAGCCATAGCTCCTGGATCCTCAGAAGTGTAGCAGCTCATACTCAGAGAAGTGTTGCATATCGTATATGGCTTATTCAGCCATGTTTATTCAATCTAAGAAAGTTCCAATATCATAAACACTAATAACTATTCAGTGCGTGCAAAATAACTGCATTTCCAAACAACAGGGTTTAAAGGCAGCAAATTTTATTTAGCAAAATCGTAGGCATGCATACGTTGACTCTTTTTCTCAATTGCTTGTAAAACTAACATGCTTTTGTGAATTTATCAGTACTTTAAATGTGATTCATTCTTGACAAAATTCACACTTTCTGTTTGGAAATTATGCCAAACTTCGAGAATAGACTGGGTCTAGTTACTTCATTAAATAACTAATGCTAATTTGTGTTTTGTATTCTTGTTTTATCCGATCTTCATGTGGTATGGGCCGAAGTAATCACATGCTGTGAAGTGAAGTGAAATGGTGGATTGTGAGGTGCCAATCTCTCCTTGGGTACGTGTAAGTCCGCCATGAGTTGAGTGTCTGTCGTGTGTTTCGTTTCTCGGCATTGAACACATCTGAACTTAACTGTCTTGGCAAGATTGTGAGCTTTCAAGATCCAGTACTCCTTTCTGGTTTTTGCTACTGTGGTGGCAACACCAGTATGGCTAGCTTGATGAATCTGCCGTATAATCAAGAGTGCCATGTGGTGGTCTTTTGGTAGCAGTGCTGGTTGTTTTGCCTCCTAAGACATCAAAGATACATCCAATCTGCCACCTACTCTGAGAACTCCATTTGCATCTTTAAATGGGCTGAGTGCTTTCAACTCCCCATTTTCCAAGCGATATCCGGTAGAATCTTTTGCGCCTGAAGTATCCAGTACGTTTTTGCTTCTTGGAGTTCCAGTGACAACAAAGGGTCATTTCTGGTGGTTGTGTTGTGCTGATGACATTTGGCTCTTATGTTCCAAACAAATCTCAAGACGTAAGCAGTGACTCGACTGAGGTTTTTTCAAGATGAAAACTTCATGCTATCTGTGGTTTCTGTCCCTTTCTATGAAGACACTTTGTCCTCTACGTTGTTTTCTTGTCAACCTCTCTTTGGTCAACACCAGGCACACCTTGTCGCCATTCCTTTTCTTGTAGTGGTAGAAAATCTGTTTCATGCTGCCAACGGTCAGCCAGATGTTTGACGGGTATGCCACGAGAGACATCATTTGCTATATTGTGCCGTCCGGGAATATGCTTCCCCTGCGATGGGTCAGTCGTGCTCTGATTTTCACCAACCCTGTTGGATATGAAGGGCTTGAACCATCTTGCTTGGCCACGGATCCATCTCAGTATGATCGAGCTGTCTGCCAAGAAGATTGTTCTCTCTATCTGTAGCCATGTCTCTTCAGGTATCGTCTTTTGGCAGCAAATGCCGCTTGTAGTTCAAGCTTTGGTATGGTCAGCTTTTTGAGCGGTGCAACGTGTGACTTTGCTGCAATGAATCTGATACCGAATGTACCATCTGGTAGTGATCTGGCTCATTGAAACAGCTCTGGAAGCTCGTTTCAGACATACACAACCTTAGTTTGTTGTCTTGCAGTCTCCATAATGTGAAGTAGAAATTCACTACTTCTTACATCCTACTTAAAATACTGTTTTTTGTATGTATTCGTTGTACATGCAGATATGTGTAATAATTATTGGTTGTGAAAGGTACATGTACCTGTAAGCTAACAGCATAGCATACACATGAGTAGCATACCAATGGAAAATCTTACATTGTCAAATCCAGGTTTCCAATTTATTGAAGTCTGGGATGTTAGTCATGTTACAGTTGATATCAAGAGCAGGTACATATACATGTACCATGGCTACCATTGTTGGCTGAGAATTTCAATTTGTCTTTTTAAAATTTTTTCAACCCATGCAGAAAGACTAAGATGCAAATTCCAGTCTGAGTCTTTGTATGAGTCCTTTTGGGAATACTTGACAGTTTTCAGCATGCACCTGAATATGTATTCAATCATGAGCCCAAGCACCCAGGCCAAATTTCAGTGACAGCTCAACTACGTGCATATGTACATATATGTAAAACTAATTGCACCTGGTGTTCTTTTGTGAAGAAAGTGTTTGATCACAATGAGACAGGGTGTAGTAGTTTGATCTTTTCTTTCAGTTTGCATTGATGTGTGTCAACGCTACTGATGGCATTCCCACTATCTTCAGTATACCAACCTTTGCTACCATGTCCGCACCTTTGGTAAGATGAATTTGTACACATAAAGTAAACCCAAAATGCTCATATGGTTGAGCTTGCAATCCTATGTTGGGCGTGTATTAACCAGCCACAAATCATGTCAGAAAAATGATGCAGTGCACTTTCATGCAATTAATTTACCTCTTACGTTTTGTCCTACTCTTATTTTTTGGCATAGGTTGATCGTGTCCACAGGGGATTGTGTGTGGACGTGGATGGTGAGGGGACCATTCCAGAATCACTGCGTAATGTTCTGTCAAAATGGACGCCTGATGATGCCAAGAATCCCAAGTATAAATTATAAAAGCACATTAAATTGTTTGCTAAATTCATGTTAGAGGGGCAAATGGTAGCAAGCATCTCATTCCAAGAAAGGAGCTGAAGGAATTTTTTGTGGGTCTCGTGATCGCTTACATGTACCTAGTAGGATTTTGGTTTGTTTGCTTTTGCTGGTAACTTCAATGCCTTTTTTTCTACATCTCAGGTCTGGCATCCCGCGCATACTATGGCTTAACCCATCATGTAGCAATCCAGCTGGTGTCACCACGTCTGCACAGAGACGCAAAGAGATCTATTCCATTGCCCATGAGTACAATCTTCTTATTGTGGAGGATGACCCTTACTATTACCTGCAAGAAAACCAGGTAAATTTTGTTTAGCAGACAAGGATATATGTCCTTGTACATGGATGAAAATTAAGAACCTCGCAGGTTGGATTTGAGCTTATTTTTTTGAAACCTACAAAAAATATATGACATACTCAACTACATTGGTTGGTCAGCTTATAAGCCCCACTCCATGTCGGCATCTCTTCAGTCTCCTGATGACAGACAGAGCATGCTGTCCGAAACGTTGAGTTCCTCACGGTTCTTTTCAGAACCATACAGACTCACAAAGAGATTGTATCCTTGCATGGTGCTACCGCAAGCTTTCCACCTTAGTTGTCTGTCATCGTGAGTAGCTTGAAATCCCATCAACATTGGTTATGAAATTGTGTCACTCGGCCAAAAACTGATCTGTTAAACCTGCCTCATTTTTATCTGACTAAACACAGCCGTGATTTATGTCTGCCATGTATGCACCACACATACAGATGCCTGCAGATGGAACTTGTTGGGCGGCATTAATAGAGAAGAGCATGTGCTAAGTGCCCACGTGTGTAGCGGGCAGGGCTCACTAGACCGGTCCACTGAAAAAGTCTTGAAGTCTTTGTTATTTACTGGTATTCTACCATATTTATTTCAATATTAAAATTAATTTAGAAATTAACCAATTAACAAGAACACCCTAAAAATAGACAGTGCAATCATTTGGTTTCATCAGCCCCGGATTCCAAGTTACCTATCCCTGGATGTTGACGGCAGAGTGCTGAGATTTGATTCCTTCTCAAAGATCGTCGGTCCTGGGTAAGAGGAAAAGCATCACTGGTAGACACTTACGCTCAGTGCCTGCTATCTGCAGGATTGCCAGACAGCTTCACAAAATGGTGTGAAGGAATGCAAAACACTCTGAGTCAATGATTCGAGGCATTTGTTTGCACTCACACATCCGTTGAGAATTGATGATACATGTAATGTTGATTGAGGCTGCCACTCTGGCTGGCCAGCAAACCAGGAAAGCTTATAGCTGAAAATGGCCTTCCCAAATGTTAATAGTTCAGGCAAAACCACACATTAGAGTAAGTTCAAACTGCTACATGCAAGGATCTGTCTCCGTTTAACTGCCAGTGTGTGGTTAGAATATGAAGTGTTTGAAGGAGCTTGAACAATCTACACACTTCGCTTCTTTTGTCTATCCCTGCTTGAAGTACCGCATCCCACTGCCAAGGAATCATTTCACCTGGATTCATATGCAAAAACTGCACATTCAAACAGAAATTGGTTGTGTGTGTTGAAATGTTCATTGTGTCCCATGCTAAATGCGCATTCGCCTATGCAGGCGTGCCGTCAGGTCCCTCCAAAGGACCATCATTGCTTTGTAAATGAAAGCGTGGTAGCTCTTGTTCCTGCATGTACATAGCAGAGAGTGATTGTCCATTTGGTTTGTCACTGGATAACTTGTCTGTAGCTATAAGGTACATGTATAACCCCTGAAATGTCATCAGGTTACAATTGTACTACAAATCAAAGTTCCATCTGTTTCTTCTTTCATTATTGTCGCTCTGGGAAAAGTTTGCTCAAATTAAAGCCCAAAGCTCCAAAGTCACCTAACAGGATTGGGAAGGTTGCTTATATCTACAGACTATCTGTAATCATTCTTTGATTGTAGACTTTGTGATAGTATACGTTGCCACTCATTTCTTTCTGTATTGCTAGATTGAGATGTGCATTTGTGACTGGGCCTGAGGCAATTGTCAAGAAGATGGAGTATGCCTATATGCAGAGCTCTCAACATGTCTGTGGACTGTCACAGGTGAGAACTGTTCAAGCGTCAGTATGGAAAGGCATATATCGTCGTTGCCAACAATGGTCCTGTTTACACGTGCACTTTCGTAAGGAGCCAGTGGGGAACCACGGTCCCCTGATGAGCACCGTAAGAAAACACACACATAAACAAAGTGTGATGTCAATGCAGAGGAATTTGCGCAGTCGTCACTGTGACTAATAGGCCATCCGAGGTATGGCATTGTCTATACTTAACAACTATGGTGCATGAGCAAATATGCGACAGGGTTTGTGTATCCAAGAAGAGAGGAGGCATTTTGTAATCTAATTATTTAGGTCAAATTGTAAATCAATCACAAGCCAATATATATAAAAAAAGGAAAAGAAAAAAAGAGAGGCAGTGGAATGAAAACCACCACTTTGATTGAAAATATCTCTGATTTGATCCCCAGCCATGGTTTGTGGTTTATCAGTTTGCTGTTGGTGAGGCTTTGCCCCTGGAAGAAGTCCTGTATCATTCCCACCCCCAGAAAAAAATCCTAGTGACACCCATTGTGCTGACAGATGCATGTGGATCCAGTACACTTGATTCTCATCTATTGTTTACTCTTTTCCTTGTTCTCATCGATGACATCATCATTTGACATTTTGTATCATTTCTCCCTGGAGATAATCATTTACAAACTCCTCAAGAAGTGGGGGTCGACCGGTTTCGAAGCTCACATTCAAAGAGTGGTTGCATTTAACCGAGAGAGAAGACACTGTGCTCTAGCAATGGCTGACAAATGGTTGAAAGGTAAATTATGGAAGAAAAAATTTACTTTTGCAAATAGCATGCAATTCCTTGTATTGCATGATATCTTCCTCACGGTTGTGATTCTAAACTGAAAAACATGAGACCAAAAATAAGATGTGGGATATAAGACTGGGATTAAATGTAATGGCATCCAGGTTTTCTGAACGCCAAAGCAAGAATGGCAAATGCCCTGCAATAATTTGATCAAACAGAAGAAGCTGCAACAACACAGAATCATAAACATACAAATCACTAGAAAAGTATTAACTTCTTGTGACTAAATATTATTGGAATAATATTGTTTTGCACAGTGCCATTGATTCTGAAAGCAGAATTGTGGGACTTCAAAGAGAACGAGATCGATGCAATTTGGTACTAAAGGCTAACCCCATCATTGAGCTCGTCTCGTCCCCATCTAAGTAAAAACACGAGTCATAGTACTTGATCAGAACAAAGCGAGTAGGGATTGGACTTGAGTAAGTGTGGAGGAATTGCTCATGCTCAATATTCAATGCTCATTGTCAGGACTTGCAGAGTGGAGTGTACCCACAGGCGGCATGTATGTCTACTTAAAAGTTTACGGAACCGGACTAAAGTCAGAAGAGCTCAATGAGAGGCTCATGGAAGCACACAAAGTTGCCGTGGTTCCTGCCTCAGGGTTCTATCCCAGAGGTGCAAAGTTGACGGATGTGGCTGTCTTACGCATTTCCACCTCAATGGCAGATGCTGAAGTGATGGAGAAGGTAAACAACGATTGATATTTTAAATACTATTAATTTGCATTCTGCTCAGGGAGGATTCAGACTTCCAGTTTGAGGTCTTGCTTTAATTGTCAGAATCGATGCACTACTTGGAATGTATCATACCTGCAGTGTTCATCAAAAAGGATCTTTTGAAGTACAAGTACATTTGATTCACGTAGCTTCTTGTGATACTGTCTGATTTGATGCAGTTATGTATAGTCATGACTACAAAAATGACATGCTGTTGATTTTGGTATTGTGAAACTGAGACTGCAAAGGATGGAATCAATCTTGGGACCAGTTTCCACTCTTCTATAAATGGATGTAGGATATAACCATTGTACAAAATTGATCTGAAGATGAAGATTTGATATATCTCAGACTTAATGAAGACAAAAATCTCAGGAAACGACATTGACATGCCATCTTTTGGTCCTTTTCAGCAGAAAAGTACTTGTGTCTTATCCTTTGAGACCTCAGAAAAGAATGAAATACATGTACTAAGGTCAGTTGCCGACTTTTTTTCAGGTTATGAAGGGCCTTTCCCAGGTGATTCAAGAGGCAAAGACAGCTTACTCTAAGCAGAAAACAGACCGGGCCGACATTGTCAGTTCAGAAAATTGTATGTAAATTACTCTCCGTCTGATGTCCACCTAGCAGCTATTTCCTTGTTGGATGGAGACTGTTGCAGGCTTCAGTATGAGCACAAATGCATGCTGCCATGTTTGATCACTATTATCAACCTGACAGGGATGCATTAGGAGATGGGTTTTAGAGGAAAGGGGCACTTATTGGGTTTGGGTTTTAAGTTTTAAGCACTTTAAAAGATCTATTTTGTTTTGTCCAAATTTGGAGCAGGGTCAGGGAGTGATTGCACAGCCATTCCCGTTTTTCAGTTTCTTCTTCAGATGGCTATATTTTGATACCTTTGTATCTATGGGCTTAAGAGTTTCCACATGCTGAGTTGAGAGTTTGTGGCATTGACGTACTACATTGAGTAGTTTTATTTCACATGCATTTGTTTGGATCTGAGAACAGAATGTTTTGTTTGGATCTGAGAACAGAAAAGGTCCAAGTAATGTCAAGTTCGATGGACTTGTCAGGGCCATACATTTTGCAATGTATGAAGTTCTCGAAAATACTTTCTTCCATTTTTGTTTGCATTCAGTCTGAGATTTCTTAGCAAAGTGTGAACGTTTGTCGAGCCCAAAACTCCACAGTTTAAGGCTAAAACTAAGGCTCAGCTGGGGAGGGAGTTTAGGTAGTGCATCATAAACATCCTGGGCAATCCCTGAATTGATTCTTCAATAAGAAATGACCACTAATCGAAATGAAATGTTTTGCCTTTTTGAGCTCATCATAATCAATTCCATCAAGCTAAAACTGAAGATAACGGAGGGTTTGTCGTGGCTGGTATACTTGAATAAGTTCACGGAGGTATGCTGGTGATGAGCCATGGATGCCCGATATTTAATATAATGTACAATCAACTGGTCAACTGCATTTAAGCGTTGGTGATCAATCTAGCCAAGGCTGTGGCCAAACAATCTCAGTAGTCCCCATTTACGTGCTGGTTTCTTTTTGGCATGGCGTGCGTAAGTATACTCGACAGTGATGATACATTGTACCTCCCGGCAACGTACGTCTGCTTGCCGTTCATTCGTCACTGACGATATGCGGCAACCGTACCGCAATGCGCACTAGTAGCGAAGTTTCAATAACATACCTCACCACAAAGCACGCGCCTTAAGAATATTTCAATTGGGTCGACCGAGTTGCTCCTAATTCGATTTGGTTCGACGCCTGTCTGAAACGGGTGTTAATCTGCCCAGATATCTAGACTTGTGTCCTTCCGTGACTATATCATGTAATTACCAAATTCCTTATTTTGTGGCTTTTGAAACGCTTTTTGAAGGATGGGAAATGACGTAGTTTTCCAAATTGCTTTTCGGCCAATGATAGTATCACCAATTTTAAGTCCAAATCAGGTAAAGAGGCCCCGCCAAATGTCTACATAAGTAATCTAACTTTGTTCTTGTATAAAAAGGGAATCAAGGAACTCAATTAATAAAACTGAGGATTTATAACGGGCCGAAATCCATCACAAGTGACACTCCAGGCGCAAAACACTTAACTACGTTCAGAGGCAGGAAATCACCCAGAGTAAAGAAATGAAAAATAAAAAAAACCAAAAAAGACAGAAAATCATTTTAAAAATTGAAACGTATACATTGAAACTTAAACCCATAACACCTGATTTGTAAACAATTTTTTCGGTTTTCATAAATTAACACACATTCACAAACTTTTATCACTACCTTCATAGGCCTATTATTTGTTGCGTCATGATGTTTAGTTTCATGGAAAAAGTAATAAAAATGCTGTAACTATTATTTCTTTCCCTTTCGAATTTAAATAGTCGAACTATCAAAACAAAAGCTTCATAATTCAATCATGGTAAAGGTGAACAAAAATCATGAAGCGACATCTACCGACGGAATGGGCTGACCGACTGATTGCTCGGTTCCTAGTAGACAGTTCTGAGTAACACGTCCATCAGTTCAAATAGCGTCAGGATACTAACCCCCATGAACAGACCCATAGAGCCGCCAATGTCACCTGGACGAAAAACAAGGTCAGTGAAACAAAAGAAAAACATCAAGAAAAGGGGATGATAAACAATCGTTACAGAAGAAAAGTAATAAACGATGGGCCAGGTCAAAGTTGAGTTTCAATTCTGTGGCTAGGAACAGTGGCAGCCCCTTTTCTCTGTTCCTCATTGGTTAGTTTAGGTTAATAACATTACAGACGTAAATTTTATCCAGATAAGAAAAATATGCCCCATCCTTGTGTTCGGGTTTCACCTCCATCACCCATGCCTTTGGAACAAGCTTAATTCTCCACTACAATTGGGCAATCAGCCTGATTTTCAAATTTACCTGAGACACTTGGCAGTCCCTAAAGTTGCAATCTGTTGCCAAGTTTGGCATCAGGATTAGGCTCGTTCGGGTTTAACTATTATGAGAAAGTCACTTACTGAGTAGACTTTCCAAGCTGTAAGCCGGCTGCTGTGTAATCCGCGTGTACTTCAATTCCTCAAAATAAACTATCAGTTCCAGAAGGTTGTTTCTGAAAAAAAAATCATTCAAAACACTTCAATATTTGATAAATTGATTTCCACATTCTCTCTCTCTTTCCGGGTGCAAGACAAAGGATTTGTTACAAGTAAATGACCCCAATTCTCTTACCCCTTTCCTTCAAGTTGGTCCTGTTTCTGAACATCCAAATGACGGTATCACTGTCGGCCCACATGCACATTGGCGGTCGGAATAGGTAATTGTATATCTGAGCGAATTCACATCTCTGTCGTCTGTTAATTAAGTTTTTAATGCTTCTACATAATAAAGTGTATTTGTCTTGAAATAAACGATGCCGTAATGTTTCGATCATAATGATCTTGGGTCTTCATAATGCTTTGTTTTTACTTGTTTTTTTACAGCTAGTGATGTGTATATATAAAATTACAAATTGAATTTTAATTATAATACTAATTGTCCTGTCATTGTATACGTCTTCTAATTAAGTAGTGTTTTTTCTAAAGTTGATGAACTGAAATGATGCTTTTTGTGTTCAGTGATAAATGGTATATAATATGTTCGGTGATGCAGTGTACCGGTCAGCACATGCAGTTTCCATGAAGGATTAATAAAGCAATTTGAATTTAAATCTAGCGAATTATTCATTATGAGTGACTGTGGAGAATTTAGGTACGTGACCTCTGACCTGGAGTAATCCATAGACATGTTCAACTCTTTGTCTAGTGCCATGGCAACGTGTCTAGCAGGAAAGATCCCAGATGACAGCATAGTCGAGTACTCAGTTCGCTCACAAGGCACAGGACAAGAACAGTTGGTCTCGAATGAACTGATAAATGATTCTTGTAAAAAGAAAAACAAAACAAGACAAAAAATAAAACCCAGAATGTCTTGATGCTTGCATTTGTGAGAGGCCCCTCACCTGCTGTTTTGTGCTAGGAGTTGTCCCTTTCGCGGAACTTTCAAATGTTTAGCTGTCCATTCCACTTTATAGAGGGCGTTACTCCAGACGCATGATTTTATTTTTAGAGCCTTCATTTTACAGATAATTTTGGTCTGAGCCCATTGTTGTAAAAAAGACGCTCTGTCACAATATTACTTTATAGTTAGGGTTGCATGTCAGTAATTAAGCTGCGGTAAACAACGACAAAAACCCCGACTTCGATAAATCAGGAAAATAATTACAAATCCTGTTACAGACTCGACGCATCCACTCCTCTTTTTTGCAAATCCTCCAGTCACTCCGCGGACCTCAAAGTGCTTTAAGACCAGAGAATTTGGCCGGCGAAGGTATTTGGAAGGGACTTTGCTGGCTTGCAACCTCGGCAAAGGCTTTGCTCACCTCGCGTAAATTGTTGCATGGAAAGGTTATACATTCTTGCAATCAAAGTTAGGGTTGAGCCGCTAATTCCATGCCAGAGATGTGTGCAGTGAACGTAATGTTGCACGGCGCATTATGGGACCTATTTCCTTTAGAGTTATGCGAACCCATGCTAGGCGTATTTCTGAAACGGGAGTCTGGAAATGAACAGCCAGTGCAACCGAAGACTCGGTTTTCTGTAGGCCTACATAAACTTGTCGATGTACATGTATATTAGCTGTTTCATCAAGTTACTTACCCATCATAGGATTGAGACATGTTTGTAACTGGTATGGGGAACAAACTGGAAAATCCCCTAGGAAAATGAAATAAAATTAATTTACATAAATGATACACATTTCGCAATCACAATTTGATACAAAAATGTTTTCAAAATTGCCACGTAGGTCGCATTTTGTCCATCAACCTTAAACGTGCGGTTTCGTGTCTCATTTACCTGGCATGAATGCGTCTTTGCAGTGACATTTCTCAACGACATAATCGGTTTGACAATCCAGTATGCAGGCCATGACGGAATACATCTCAACATGCTTGAGTTGTTTGGTAGCGCACTTACCGTACGGCATCGGTTGATTGGTGATCTAAAGAAAGGAAATGGGAAAGCCATGTTACGGCTTCTTCTGCGGAGTTTACTGAAAAGTTGAATCTAGGGTTTAGAAAAGGCTATACCTGACTCATAGTCACTTCAGCCAGGTTGTAGGTTCCAGGTGACAGGGCAAATCCCAAATCCTTGGACATTCCTTTGGGGATATCATTCTGGTGATGCAGCGCCACCTTGATTCCGACCGAGTCACGTGGACCCGGCATGTATTGGTCAGTCTCAACGTTCAGCCGCAGGCGAAGTCCGAACCTCGAACCTTTCAAATGAAAATAAAGATAAAAGACCATGAGACACCATATGAAAATGACCCAATAGGCTGAAAAATTACGTCATGATGACCACCCTCAACAAATGAAACATGGTGCCTTTCGTAATTTGCTGACAAGGAAAATCTGCCGTTGCTTAGCATAATTGTATTTACGAACCGTATATTACCAACTGCAAGTCAACTTCGCTAGCTACTTTTACTTACCCCTGTGTTTTATGCGTCTGACGGCCATGCCTTTGGTATGAGAATTGAAGGTGTGGCACATACCAAAGTCAGTCAGAGTCGAGATGAAGTCATCGTGACCGCACGGTTGTCCTTGCCAGCTACATCTGTTTCATTAAGAAAGGAGACGCCAATAACAGTCTCACAACGGACATTTTGCAAGACAATTTTTTGAACAAACTTTATTGATACTGACTTCAATTTCAGTAAGGAAATCAACAGAATTTGCACGCAGGCACGAATGCGGTAAAACAAACAGAATAGTCTCAGTTTATCGGTCCATTAAAATCCTATTTTCTCTACGTTTGAAGAAACAGAAAAATCGCACCTTCATACTTTTGTAGGTTTTTTTCCTGCTAACGTTAGACTTAACTCACTCTAGGATCATGTCGTCCTTAAGATGTCCGGTGTCCACGTAGAACTGTTTGAGATCGAGGTCTTTGAACACCATGAAATCGGGCGGTGTTTGTTTATTATTCATCATTCCTACTGGGTACGCCAAATCGATATAGTCCACGAATTCTGGACCGTACTTTTCGACTGCGCATTTCCTGCAAATTGAAACCAGGACAGAAAATATTTAACAGAAACACTGTCTTCGTTTCACTGATTTTATCTGTGCTTCAGTGATGTATTTCAACTTTTTTTGTTCCTTCGACAAAACGACACAAAACAAAACGATATCTCTGAAATCGCAGTGGCAACTTTTTTTCAGATCAGAGAAACGATCGATTAATGAAATCCTTTCACACGAGAACCATTTTAACATTCAGACCTGAACATGTTGAAGTTGCAAATTGTCACAGACGGGAATTCGATCATTTCCTCAGGGTAGATCACTTCAACATTGACCATTACTGGCCAGGATTTGAAGTAAATGATGCTCCTGGCGATTTGGTATGTCACCATACCTAAGCCAGCCAACAGAAGGCACAACCACATCACCCTAAAAGTTGTTCAGAAGAAAAAGAAAACTATTAGGCCTCTGTGTATTTTTAATTCGTGAAGAGTTCAACGGTCACTATTTTCCATTTCAACAAATGTGGCATTTCTTTTAAAATCAATAAAATTCTGGAGGGATCCCAAGAATCATTCAAATCAACAAAATCTGCTGGGATCCCAAGAACCACTCCATCCAAACACGGCAGGGGGTGGCAGAAGCTTCTCATAATTTGAAAAGTACAAGCGTGAAACCTGCGCTCTTTAAAGCTCCGGTGACATTTTGAATCCAGGAAAAATTCTGTTTTGTATTTGCGTGGTTCCCACGGACCATCAACATTGCTTCACCGTAGCGAATCGATTAAAATAAGCGGAAAACTAGGTGAAATATTCTGTTTGAATAACAAATGTTGAACAATGTTTCGGCCCCTTTCTTTGAACGTGCAATTTATTCATGTTCTGTATACGATCGTTCACATGGCAAAATCATATAAGACGTTCGTGGGGTGACAAAACTGCTCTTCAGTGGAATTGCTTTCCGTTAAAATGCGCGTGCGTGGATGAAAAAACATGCCAGACCTACAGATCATGTACAGGCATTTATATTGCATTTTCAGCACGGGTAAATGAAGCAAGCAGCTCTTGACGAATCTTGCGACAAACCTTGGGCGTTCGTAAGATCAATCAGAGTCAATATGGGACGCGACGTAACTGACTTTCCATGCTAAATTAAACAACAAAACAGTTCAATCAAAATACATGTAGTCCTTAAAAGGGTAGCTGCAATCGATTTCTTTTAATACATAACCTTCGAAATGCATCTTTGCGTGTCAGTTAATCTGTTTCCCAACTTTTGTTTCACTATTTCAAAGGGTATTTTTACGGTTTAGGTTTTTATGATACTGAATATTCCCGTATTCATGAGCAAAGCTGTGATGTCATCCCATAAGAAAGCCTAAATGTTATTTTGTTTTGTACTCAAAAAGTCATGTATTTTTTTAGATTTTACTGGACTAAATTTTCTCTTCTTTGCTGATTCATTGTTGTTTATGTGCTTAGCAGTAAATGAGCACCAATGCTTTTCTCAGAAATGTTCTCAGCAAGTAAGCTATAGGTTCACAATTTTTATAGAAAACCTATGCAATGAACTATGTCCTCCCTGGATGACATCACAGCAACAGCGCTCTCGGTTGCCTATGAAAGCATTAGTAATGATAAGTGTTTAAAAAAGTGCACTTTTAGTGCATTTGACCAAACAGGAGTGTAAAAGCGTGTTCATACACTGAAGAAAAATTCAAAGTTGCAGAAAAATAGTATCTAAGAAAAGTTCTTTGCATCTACATTTAATACAAAAGTAATATTCACTTCAAAGCAATATTCAAAAGTAATAAAATAAGAAAAAATATGCTGAAACAAAAATATTATAACCGGTACCTTTTATCAGTCATGGTGTTGAATATAACTTGGCCCTTCTATGACAACTAAGAGTGTGCTACTTTTTTATTTACAGAGAATTGTGGCCCTTTAAAAAGTAAATAATGTAACAACAATTGGCGAAATTTTGGATTGGGATTTTTTTTGAATATTCAGTTTCGTCCATGCAGCACACAATAGTTTTTGAAAACTGTATCAGTAATGGAAGACGGTTATTTCCCCGAACTCCAGACATGTGCAAACGTTTACAACGTTTATGTAATCTAAACACAACTGCATTGTTGTTCCTTCAGGTCATGCCAGTTCCCAGAATATTTTTAGGTGAAATTTTGAAGAACTTGATTTAGGTGAAATTTTGACAGCGTCGAAGTTTTGTCTAATGCCTTGAAATCTTTCATTATACCATGTTGGGTGACGGGGTGTCACGTTGTTTTAGTTTGTGCAATCATTTGTTTGGAGTTTTCCTTCAACTATACCAGTAGTTGAGATCATGCAAAGCCTCAGCAAAAGAACATCCAAAGTTAGCACACTTGGCAAATTTTCCTAGCACTGGTGGTAGCCTACCCCCATGTTTTACACACCTGCAATTAAGATTTAAATCGATATCGCTACCATTCCCAATCCCTTTCAAAATGTACCAGCCTCTTTTCACAAAGTGTAGTGTTCTCGCAAGTTATTGAGAGAAAATTCAACGCTGTTGTACCAGCATAAATTACTCAAAATGACCCACTCGTGAATGAGTGACATGTGAAAATCCTTAATGAAATGGTGACGGTGTATGCACTCATCGGGTTATTGACCCGCAAATAGCAACATTCAGCAATATCATCGAGAACGCTCAAGAGAGGCAATCTGATAGACCCACTGGGGCATTAACTGCCTGTAACCATGTCGTAAGTTGATTCACCAACACTTCAACTCGCATTCAGGGAAATTTTACGAGGCGAAAAAAATCTATGAAGACTTTTTACGGACACGGTAAAACTGACTGACAGATCTGTTTTCCTTCCTCCATGCTCGCACGTACGACTTAAATATTGTAACTATCGTACGTGCGAGATATCACTTACCTGAAGGGAGAGAGATTTTTTCCCCCATATCTCCATGCCTAACGCGGCATTGTATAAATTAATCATTGTATAAATTAATCATTTTAGAACTAAAGACAGTGGCGTAGCGGGGGGGGGCTCGGATGAATGGATATTGAACAAGGCTTACAAAAACTTGCCAAAAAAACCATACCACTGAAAGCTGGTGCCCCCACAAGATGCTTCCACCCACTATGTACCCCTAGTAAAATCCTAGCTACGCCACTGACTATAAACCTTTATCCTGTGATGTCAGGATTATGATGGACCTATGATGTATTGTGATGGTAATGAGTGCAGGGTGTTGTGATGGTAATCTACCTATTCAATATAAACTAGTCAAGCATGCAGCGTTCGCATGTGCTTGCACGTGGTTGAAGCTGCTAGTAGGAATACATGCGATCACCGTGGCCAAGGCGGTCCACAAGTGGTAGTGTTTACATTTAGTCACGTGAGTGAAAAAAGTCTATAAACTTTATAAGACGGGCTTATAAGGGGAAAATCAATGAAGCTGCAAAAGTTTACAAGGCACCATTGATTGAAAATGTTTGATTCAGGTCTAAGACACCTCGGTTTTAAAACGCACATTTAACAATTGTTCAATTGTAAATGGGTGTACAAAACCCATGGACCGTGTCACTGCGGGCAACAATTGTTTTGTTATACCGTGGCCATAGATTTTACTGGAACGCTCTTATATTTGTAATAATTATGTGCATATTTTATTGCAAGATAAATCAAAACACTTTGACAAATTGAAACATGTGAACAGTAAATCAGCAAATTTCAATGAAAAGGATTGATTGTGATGTCCTCTGTTGATTGATTTTTTTTTTTAGGGAAATCTAAGATTGGTAACAAACTTGTTCAACGGAGAAACCTGTGATCCATATACTGGATTGGGGGTTTTGTGAATTTGAGTTTCAAGACATTATTTACACCAAGATCCCTTAAGAAGTATTGACCAGATTGAAGAGCAGACGAGAAGATACAATGGCATGAGCGTTTTATATAAACACCACTGAATGACAATCGCAGCGGAAGCAATGATCAGAGCATCATCATGTTCCACGAGCGAAGAAGTACCACCGCGGCTATCAACTCTCGTACCCAAGGTCACACAATTACAACGCAGTAGACGCGACACATCAACTCTGGGAAAGATCACCGTCCATCATTTTTTGCGGCCCGGCAACATCGACATGCGGAGCGCGCGACGCGTGAATGATACCTGCACGCTTGTAGCACATCACGTGATCAGTTCGCGACCAATAAAAATACACTGTCTATGACCGTGTATTGTTTGTTTTCATTTGCATAATTTGATACACAACAAGCCAAAATACATATAAAGTAAATTATAAACAATGAACCCAAAGAACACCTCTTGTTGACTGTGGAATTCTGGAGAGTAGAGGAATCTTTTTCAAAGACTCTGTTATTTGCAGTTTCTTACGGCTATTTTCAAAGTTTTGATGAGACCAGCCGTAATAATAAATGGCAACGAAAAGAAAATCATCATTTATTAGTTTGCAATCTGTTTAGAGGAATATTCAAACAAGCAAACAAACGAACGAACGAACGAACGAACGACCGACCGACCCAGCAAACCCAAAATGGTAACGTCCGACGAAATAATGTACAAATACAACTTACTTTCTACCGGTTTGGACCTTCTCGTCTACCACGTTCTTAATGCCAACCACACTCGTGTCATCCTTCAGAGCCGTCTTCAACCTTAAGCTAGCCCCATGGGAGGTTCGTCTCTTCTCTTCCTTTGTCCAAACTCTGTCCATCCTGCTGCAAACATGCCACGCCGGTTGCCGCGTCTTCGGTACCTCTCCGCTTGTCGGCTTATGGAAAACCTCCCGCGGTGCTTCAGCACACAAGGTCTGATCTAAAACCTCGCCTGGAATAGATACCGCCGCTGAGTTGGGATCTCCATGAACTTCCCAACCAAGAATCTTAACGAGTTTGTCTACTCTCATTTTTGTGGACGTAAAACAGAATGAGGGTGACGCACATCCAGCAAAGTTGTCTGTGTCCTTGCACAATGAAAAGTGGTAAGTGGTAAGCTGGTTCAAACTTAACCATCGATCAATTTCGTCGGAGAAATGAGCGATGAAACTATACACTCAGAGTAAGGGGCAGCAAATATTGGTAACTCTGTGTACATCGAAATGACTAAAATTTAAAAAAGGGGGGTTTTCAAAATCATCAAAATCAAATAACGATCCAAAACAGTCCAAAAAGTCTATTGTTCGCGTGAATACGGAGCACTTCGACATAATCAGCAACTCCGCTGGCATTCCCAGCCAAAATGCTGATTCCGTTACACCAGCCGGGAAACTTCCAATCACTGTGGGCCTACACGTATATCTCGTGCTTGGGTGCATCAGTCTTCAGGGAAACCAACCCTTGCTTCGACCAATCTCGTGCACTCATTCGTGCATGGCCGCACCCCCCAAGATGACGATGATGTGATTGGTAAACTGGTTTCCTTAATACTACTTGCTGCTACTAACTGTGAACACATCACGTGATCCACTTGTTTCTTTTTGTTAGATTTCCCAATGAGCCGCCTTTCTGAGTCCTTAATTTTGTTCTGCAAGAAAACAATGAAGCATCGCTTTCAAGATAGCTCATATACCATTGTGGTGTCACGCGTTTTATGACGATATTCTACGACGACTTCATTATTAGGGTCCGTATTTATTCAGTATTTATCAACAATTATAACGTTGAGATTTAAGGTAAGGGTTGTGATCGATCAGGGACCGCACAATGTGACCGACGGCATTTTGTTTTCGTCAGCAAAATTAAACTTTCTTCATACACTGAAATTATTCAATGCGTGGGTTCTGGTCACAGTGACAGGAACTGCTCTTGTCAGCAGAAAAACAAGCTCTGTCTGTCATACTGACAACATATGAACAAGATATTCACAGACCCATGTAGTCGGAAGGCAAGATTGTTTTACTAAAAACAGTCGATGTGTGGGTTCTGGTCATGACAAAAACTTGTTCATGTCTCGTCATACCACACAGACAAGATATTGACCAAGTCCCATCAACAGTTCAGTTGTAATCTGAAGCGCCCACTGCCAATTCAAGCCACGTACGTTGAGTGGTAAGACATCTGCACCATTCTAGTGTGCAGGTCATTGGCTCGAATTTGATTGGGGCAAGTGTGCCTTTTTTCACAAGTTCTCAGAGAAGCACTGAAATTTGTTTAACAAGTGAATTCTTGTCGTTTTGGACACTCAGGCAAAATAAGTCAACATGAAAAGCTTTTGCTATGAATGTAGTGCCAATAACGCCTGTATACCAATTTTATATATATTTCATATCTCCTTTATTGCTAAACCAAGCTCATTTCAGACATTTTGAATGCTTTGTCAAGCTCTCCGATGAATATAAAATACGAGTTTGAAGTCGGTAAATCGATCGGTAGGTCGATATCCACATTGTTAAATTAAGATCTTATTACCAACTCTCATGAAAATATAAAATTAACAAAATCGATTCGAACAATAGACAGTTATCTTCAGTACACAAATGACTTACTCCATCTGTTTACGAGTCAATTAATAATTAACATCTTGAAATATTAAGTATTTTATTCGAAGACAACGGCGCTGGCTCAAAGGTTGAGGTCGCGTATTTTGCATCAGACATGGTGGAGGGTTATCGAATCAAATGACAGATAAAATTGGTTTTTGCTATGCAAACTTCTTATAATCCACCCCAAACTTCACCCCTCTGGTTTGTATTCACTTCGTTAAATCCCTCCCAGCTTAGGACTGACAGGCATAGGCATGTAATGTGAGGAAGGGGTCTTGAATCGCCTGGATTCGAACTCGACAACGTCAACGTCATAATGCACTGTGCTTCCCTCACAAAAGGAATGCTCAGGCCGAACAAACTATTCCTTGTCGGTAAACAATTTTGTTTGTTGGTAACAGACGAACAAACAGTATTTCGAAATCAAATAAGGCCGACGACCATTTAATTTATTTCACAAAATATGCACATATATAGCACGACAGAAATAATTCAAATAAAATCACACGGGCATATGATATTATCCACAAGCATTTACAACCTATAATCACAGACTACAAGACAAGCTGCTTCATTTATAGAAGAGGATATTAGGTGAAATGAAAAACATCCTGGCAATTTACTAACAAGTACAAGAAACAGTTCCACTTTTGAGATAGTTTGGTCTTATATCTGGATAGCTTGGAACAATCTTAGGAATGCTGGAATAGTGCAGATGTGGAGAACTGTGACCAAACCATGAATACAAGAATTTTCGTGCTACAGTAAAAACTACAAAGTCCAGTATCTTGGGCATCGTCAGGACTTTTTGGGGGGAGAGGACGGAAAAATTTCATCAGCAGCAAAGTGAAAACCACTAACAGCAGGGGGGGGGGGGTAAATTCAGATGTTTATGCAAACCGGTGATTTTCATCTCTTTTGCTCCTTTTCTTTCATTTTTTTAAACCCCTTTCTTAATTTTTAAAATTTATTTCCGGGGAGGAGAGGGGTAGGGGAATCTCCCTTATCCCCTCCCCCACGATGCCCATAAGTAGCACATAGCTATGTAGTATTTGAACTATCATTGTAGGATACTCTCGGTCAATTTCTGAAATAGCTTGTCACATATTAGATTTGTTTCTAAAGGATCCACTGGCAGCTATATGTGTACATAAAAAGTACATGAGACACATGTACTAATTACATGCATAAACTTGGCATATCACTTCTTCCATTTTACTTGTACATTGCTTTTAAATACACTCACACACATAGAAAGGCAAAATGGTACGATATTTACAGTTGCAAAACACAAATGGTGAAGGCTTAAAAGAATATACTGAAAGTGAATCTGCTTGGAAATCAAGAAATTCTTCATTGGCCCACTTACCTATCCATCCCATGTGTGAAATGTTACATGCATTAAAACCCTAACCCCCTAGGGACCATTGAAATCCTGCATAACCTTGTTGGGTTCAGCATGGTTAGAGATAACCCTAACCATGCTGTTATTTATAATTGGAGGATTGGGGACAATTACTTCCATTTCAGACAGGCGTTCTGGAACCAGTAAATTTTGAATTAAGCATTGCGAAGGTTTGACGTCTGAAACAATTAGGAGCGACCAGTTATATTAGCATGTGAAGGATTGATACATGAAGACGCTCGGAACAGCACCAGAGCGACCAGGTTTCAGACGTTGCTCTTTTCATGGGATGTACCCAATGAAAATGTGTATGTATTGAGTCTGTCTCTCTGAAACTAAAGTTCAGTTGGATCGACCCGGGTCGCTCTTAATTCTATTTGGTTCAGTGTGACCACAGAATGCCGGTCTGAAATGGGTGTAAGAGTAAAGGCAGATGACAAATTGTTGCACTGAAAATAAAAAGGGCAAACGACTGTTTTAAGGCCATAAACATGATTTTCTAAAAAGTGCACTATTGCTACGTTTGACATGACCTGAAGACATCAGAACTTACCACATACATTAATGTTTACTCAAAGCATTAGGTTCAAATGTGACAAAGATTAAACATGAAAATACACTCTTTGGAACAATTTTCAGAAGGCCCTCATGAATGCTGGCTTCTTTGTGTTTCAAATGATCAAGGTGATCTTGAGGTAAAAACATATAATCAGGCTAAGTCCATTGTAACTAGGGAAATGGCAGAAGTTAATTTAAGATTACCAACTGTTAACTGCACTTTAGGTTTGATGTGCACCCTGATGTTAAATTGTCAACATGTATCAAATACAAGCAGTATGTACCTCTACGAGGAATCACATCTTGATTTTTACCAAAGACACAAATATAATGAATAACACTTGTTTACATATCATTGAAAATCCAATATTTGTTAAAAATGTCCAAATGAATGCAGGTAATCTAAGTATACTTTCTTAACCCCTCTATTTGGTGACTGAATTGAGTGGTAAGTAGGAAACATGAAGACTTTTTTTAGCATGCTCAAACTCTGGCCTGCTGATATAGTTATTACTGAAATTGTCAAAACAACTAAAAATGGACAAAACTTATACACCTGCATTAGAATAATCTGGCTGGATAAACTGGATCAGATGAAAACAACTGTTGCTGTTTCTATCAAAATAGAGACTGAAAGTGGCTTATAATGGCTTAATAGCCTAAAACATACCAACATTGCGCTTTGTTTACAGGACCGCTTTCCTATGGGGGCTTGATGGATCATGTCCCTTCGCATAGGAAAGTGATCATGTAAACAAAGCATGACACCATTATGTTACAAGTCTGTTAATTAATGTACAGGTTATGCGGATCAAACAGACCACGTGCATACCCCACTTCTGCCCGGTCTGGGACCTTAACTTCTCTGATGGCTCAAACCTGACAAAATCCACTTGTCGGGTAGACAACCACTTGTAAATCTTGCAATGACTGTAACAAGTGGCAGGCACGTTGGACTAATTGCACAATGTAGGTGGCACTGTACAGTAAACAGTCAGGATATGCTACCAAGCACTATTCAAACAGCACTACACCTGTAAAAATACAGTGACTTTCAGGGCACCATGTGACATTGTTTGCATATATCATTTACACAGTCATCTTCCACAACAGTTCAAAGAATATTGTCCTGGGCGAAACGTAACCCATCATGTCACCTGGTTTGTGATGGCACATCTTAGTTTTGGAGATTTCTGCTTCTGCTGAGCTTCAGCAATGCAAACTGTTACAGTTAATGTACATGTACAAATAGCTGCATTTGGCAGTTGCGAGCAATCAGAGGCGTAAAAGTTGCTTAGTGCTAGATCTTCTGCAAGTGTACACAAGGCGCTGATATCTAACAAGAAGCCATTGTGAGCCCAGCCTGGCTGGAGGATAATGCTTTAAACACAGCAGTAACCAAATGCAATGACCCAAAAAAATATGATTAGGACATTCAGTGTTGTGGCCTAAATCAACGACCTAAACAGCAAAGGATATATATGCATCCAGGCTACTTTGTAGTTAATTTCTGCTTTCAAAGAAAACACACTTCTTTTTAACATTCAGCAGTTTGCATACCTGATTTCTTTGTCAATTAAATAACGGAAAGACACTAACATGCAACTGAGAGAGCTCAGATTTCTTTTGCCACAGTACTACATTTTTGGTAAGCAGAGCGCTTAAGAATACAGACACAGCCTTTAAGTGTGAACTTCCATGTGACCAATTGAGACAGGACCACTGATTTGACCATCATGGTGTCTGCATGGCCTTGCAAATCAAAGGAATGTCACTTCTCTCTCATCAATCATTATCTGAGGGAATAAAATAAGAAAACAAATGGAGCGCATTAAATAAATAGATGGGCTCAGCAGTTGTCGACAGCAATGTGAATTAGTGAACAAAGATGGCACCAAATCTTTCATGTACACACCGTGCTGTTCTCTTTACACCCCTGCAAAATGGAAATCCTTTTTAAGACACAAACCAATACAGCTACTGAAGAAGGATAACTACACAAAACCGAAAACACAAATGCCTGGAAGCAAACAAATGAAAGGTAACATGGACCATGCTTGAAACCTACAAAACCAGACAATACACACCAGCAGCCAATTGAACCAAACTCTATTCAATGGTGTAACTTCACTTACGCCACACTTTATTGTGTAAGTTGTACAACACGTTCAGCAAAATTTTATGAAGCTCATGCACTGTACATGTAGAAGTCCAAGACTTACGCAAGAAATTATGGCATGCCCTACAGAATTATTCAGGTGGCATAAGTTGCACCGAAAACATTGAGAATGAACAATTCAACTGACTAATTGTGTTTCGTTTTAAGGCTCATTACTGTATAACTTTCTGATGAGGAAAAGACAAAATTGTTTTCCAAATAGCGGGCGGAGGTGATTAAAAGAAATATACTGTAATCCAAACATGCACAGCTAGGCAACCTTTCGTGAAATCAACCCTACATGTATGTACATTGCACAGCTACATGTATGGCACATATTTATGGCCCAAGGCTTACATAAGGGGCAAAGTTGCACCAAGTTCAGGAAATTTACGGCCGTGTTTTATCCAGGCTTAAAATATCTAGCCATTCTGTCTTATAACCTGTCTGTGCCCGGCAAAATTTGCAGAAACTGACAACCCTTGGTGTAATATCTGAGCCAATGCTTCCATTGCGCCCAACGCCTTGGATTGAAATCTCAAGATTTATCAAACAGTGTTAAAGACTTGTGAGAAAAAACATGGGGGTTTGAGAAGTTTGAAAGAGCCAAAAAAAAATTGCCTGTCCTTAGGACAGGCGGACAAGTGGCTGGATGTGACACTGATGAATGTAGTGTCTCTCACACAGTCTGGTAAGATCAGAACAACCATGGAAGACAGATCTGTTCATCGGGAGGAGCAAACAATACCACCTTATATAAATTGTAAACTGCCAGGGCACTACACTGCCTAGTGCAAGAACTTAGCGTGGCCAGTAAATTACAGATTCAAAACACTTGGAGTGTGGCAAAGTCAAGGTATGAAGGCCAGTGGCATTAGCATACATGGCGATGGTGAGACCTTGATGTGCAACTACTGCAGACATACTGCGTAGTTTTCAATGATACTCGTGACAGCAAACATTCAAGTGAACATTCAGCCAAATGATCCCAACTTCAGCATAGGATACTCACGGAATACAACCAGCAGGTAATACATAAGTCTGAAATGGAATGGCTGAGGCATTTCACTCTAAAAGTTGTTTAGAAATACTGGACAATCAAGCTTTATGTAATAGTGGAAACAGTTTGAGTGCATGCGCAGTGAGCATGGTATTGGTGACATCTATGAATTAACTTGGATGAGCGTAAATTTACAACCCTTTCTCATTGTAGAAATAATGTCAGCGATGACAGAAAAATTACAACCATGCAAAAAGCTAAAAGGGCAGAGTGAATCCTGCTACAAAGTTATATGAGACATTCGGCACAATTTGATGTCCTCAGAGCAACATTATTCCTTGCTCCACACAAAAAATTTTTGGCGGAGAGGTTTTAGTATTTATAGAACACTAGCACAATGTGACGTCCTCAGAGATACATTATTGCTTGCTCCATACAGGAAATCTGTGGTGGAAAGGTTTTGGTAAAATAGGAAACTAGCTACAGTTCAGTCAAGGCAAAAAATGAAGTTTGCAATGTGGACGTGAAAGACTTTCCTCAAAGCTACAAGCTAAATGGCTGACTACATTTCTATGTGTCCACCAACTAGATGAAAGTCAGGAAATGAGTTGTATAACTGTTTGTAACTTACCACAGATTGAGTTTATGATTAAAGGAAGAGCAAACAAACCGTGTTAGCACTGTATTTATTAAGAGATACAAGATAACTTGTAAAGTGCAATCGTGCAAATGATGCTGATGAGAATCACGTCGGAGATCTGCCCTTCAGGGCAGACTTCATTTACAAAGATATGACATAAATCTCCAGGAAATATGATTAGGCTGCGGAGGACTCCTCTAGTTCCTTCCACAGTTCATAAACTTCCAGGTAATATTTGAGTTGAAGTCCCTAAAAAACTGAATTCAAGTCCATCAAGAAGTGGACTTGAGTTCAGGACTTGGAGTCTTACAACACTGTCTCTCTATGGCAGCTACTACAGCCGCTGGCTAACTAGAAGTCCTTACCAGCTAGACAGTGATAACAAAGACATTGCCAACTGGGGCTGAGTTACTGACCTTCAGTGTATGCGCCATCAGCCATGACTAGTTGGAGTATCTTAGTGTAGAGATGCTCTTGACCTTCAGCCAGGATGCTGCCTATCACTTTGGTGCCTTGCTCTATATCTTCATCTTCATCCTCGTGAATGGCCTGAGATGAAGTCAAGACATGGCTAGACATCAGATGCACAACAGACATTGGGGCTCATTATATCAGCTCTACTATGTGAAATAAAATTCCCAAACAGGTGCAAAAGTGAGAGAGGATTTTAACCAGACTCCAAAAAATATCACACTAAACTCAACTTTCTTGAGTAGCAATACCTATTGTCTTCATGGCCATCTAGTGACTGCAGCAGCTTGGATATTGTAAGCAGTCCTGTCCTCTGCTAGTTTTGGTCATACTATCAACAGCTTAACACACTGTAGACTTGGAATGTCCAGGTCAAGCAAGGCCTTTCCCTTGGTCTATCTAAGCCAGGTTGGGCGGGGGGGGGAATCTATGAGAGAAGTGGCTTGCACAACTTCTTTGACATGCTGATAAAACCTAACCCTACACAGCTGATCTACATGATGACCTCAATTTGACCTCTAGTCCGTCCCAGCCACTGCCTCTACCTGTATGGACTTGTACGCCTTGATGAATGTCTCACACCCTAGTTCCTTCTCCAACTGTAGTCTAGATTCCTCCAGTCGACTGAAGAGACTCTCGCTGTCACCGTCCCCCTCGCCATCGGTGCCATCGCCTGTGCCAGGTTAGAGACAGACCCCGAATGGCTAATGTTATGTTTTGTTCAAATGTTGCTGACTGCTGGCAGAGAAGGTGATTTCACATTGACCTGGGCCTAATTTCATGGCACTGCTTAACAGCGAATTTTGTGTTACATAGCCTTCGAGTTGACAGTTAGGCAGTAAGGCATAGTAGAAGTAAGTTTGACCCTGTCAGAACATGTTGATTAATGTAAAATCATATTGAAATAGGAGGATTTGGGACCGTTAGATTGGCTATATGGGTAATTCCAGAAATCAGGGATCCAAAAGTGTGACATTTTTGTGTCCCTGTTATATCTGACCTTTCTTATTTGACATGGAAATATCACCAGAATTGATTTCAAACTATTACTATTTGTTTGGCAGGTAACTTGCATTAATTCATCACTCTTGGAAATTAAAAAAAAGTGTTCTGAACTTACAAAATCATATGTCAAATGTGACAGGGACACACACAAAAATGGACCCCTAATTTCTGGAATTACCCATATACTAGTAGGTAATGTAACACTACAAATCTCCACGGACACAACTATGTGCTTAGCACTTCCCTACCTTCCTTGGAATAGTCATTTAAGCATGAGTAATAGTTTATGCTGTAGTAAGCACAACTTTCTCTACGATATTTGACCCATAGCTCCATACGACTACATGTATTTCCATAAACTGACAAAATAATGAACCTATCCACTGAGCAGAGACTTTTTGCTATGAAGATAAGACTAGAAGGTTATTACTTTGAAGTACCTTGAAATCTGTTTTAAAAATCTCTAGCATTTGCATGCACTTGTAAAGGCGCATACAGGTCCAAACCAGTAGAGTTTATGTCATTTGCTGTGTATAACTACATGTATACAGAGTCAACATTCAAGGGAGATTCTGTCACCCTGAGACACATTACCACGAGACATTAGCTCTGATGTTATTATCTGATAATTAATGAATTGGCATTTTCTTTACAAAAACTGTCTTTGGCTTTTATAAAATGAACTAGTAATTTTGTTTTTGACATCTGGAATTAGAATTTGAGCGACGTCATTTAAATCTCCACACAATGCATTACATACCCGAGTCCCAATCCTCATTGATGGGTTTACTCTCTCCAGACTCATTACCATCAGCTATATCATCTTCATCCTCGCCGCCCTCTGCTCCTACTGGTGATGAGGACTTGGACGACCTCTCATCTGACCCTCTAGGCGACCCCTCATCCTCCCTATTGGCAAGCCCTGCCTGATCCTCTGCATCTGAATGTTACAAATTGGGATGAGGTATAGTGGTTTCTAAACACGACAGACAAGACATTACGATGTGACCAGTTTTGCTTGGGTCGTGAGAAGAGACGGCTGGTCATGTAGCATTGACAGAACAAAATGCAAGACATAAGAAACATTTCAAAAAGGCATACAAATGTTTCTTACTACTTCAAGAGCAACAGCTGCAATTTTAAAATACATAATGCTCTTGAATGTACCCTGTGTTCAGTGGTCTAGCCGTGGTGGGCAGTGCTGGGCGGCACCACCCAGTACTGTAAATTTCTGCCCTACTCAGCACGGATTTTCAAAAAAATTAAATGAAATATTGCTGAAAATGTACGAATTTAATCATATTTCAAGCTTACAGAGTCACATTTTTGCACTACTTTGCAATTTTAAACAAGTAAGTAAAGATCTAAGAAACATATTTCCCATTTTCTTCGTATCAAATCAGCCGCTGATTGCAAGAGCATTATTGTAAACATGCCTTCAGGATGACGTAGGGGGAAATCCCTTCTGGGATTCCCTTAAAAACCAACCTTTGGGCTGTGAGAGCTCTGCTCGCTACGTTTGGTAATCCAAAAATTTACCCGGCACTAAAATGGTCATAGCTATAATACTGCCTGTGTTTTAAAAATACATTTTGTAATCAATCCTAATTGTGACTGCTAAATAAAGTGAGCCAGCTTCAAATGTAGAGCAGCTCCAAAGAGGATAATTTTCAAACTTAGCAAGATGGGAATAAATTTTCAAATGACCAGGGCCTGCAGCCTTTTCAGTCTTGAATCCTCTTAGTTCATTTTACCTGTTGCTTCCAGGATGCTCTTCATGGATTCTACTAGACTTCTGTATTCTTCATCGTCATCACCATCAGCTTCATCTCTTCAAGAAAAAAAAAGGAAGACAGGGCTGGACATGAAAGTCAATCTCTTCCTCCCGACCTAACTCTGCCCTAACAGGCACCCTGACAGACCAGGGACGAGGAAGCACAAATCTGCTAGGGTGTTCTCACCCATGGCATGCACCTTGGAGGGGAACCGAACCCATCTAGCGAGCACACACTGCAACCCAACGCATTTGAGCACTGCCTAGGCGGGCGGGGGGGGGAGCTCAATCGGGGTTCACTACCTTAACAAGGGCTGCAAGCACCGCATGTGTTGGTGGGAGGTACACCAAACTAAAGAGAAGATAGTAAAAAATACCCTTGGGGTTTCCCCCTTTCACCATGTTACAAGGACGCTACAGCTGGGTGAGAAACCAGTACAAAAAGCATTCTGTCAATGAGTGTAAACATTGTGCCCATGGTGAAAAAATGAACCCCTTACAATGCTGACCACTGTGCCAATCAGGCTATTTCACTTGTTTAATCTCAAACGAGCTGTTTTCTTTTAATCTCTTCACATCTAGGGAGGGCTGAGCCTGTTTTTTGAGGAAGATGTGTTCAGGCTTCCTGCATCTAAAGGACAATTAAATTCCATGACTTTGCCATGACCAAATTATGATAATCCATGACCCAGTAACACAAGTTCATGGAATATTCTGACTTTTAAAAATGTGAATAAACTCATGCATTGTAAGCACTTATTTCTGATGATAAAAATCTCACATAGCGTTTCTTTTTTAATTCCATGACTCTCCATGACTTAAGTCATTTTTACAAGATTCCATGACTTTTCCAGGCCTGGAAAACAAGAACAATTTTCTACGATTTTTTATAACTTCCAGTCTGCGTGAACCCGGCACGTCGTCATAAGGTGTTACGACAACAGCAAGTCTAAAATGGTGACAAAATTAAAATGGCGGAAAAATCTGTCATGGTTCAGGGCAATGTAAACTATGCTGTAATGATATCATAAAATGTACACCCCCAGCCTTTCTTTGTTGATGTCCTGCCAATGGTTGGCAGTTCTTACCCTCCATCGTCGGCATCAACATCATCCTCTCCGTCCTCAGTCGAGTCTTCCTCATCCTCAGACTCATCCACATCCTGAACCTGTAGGTCAGCTAGCTCAAGCTCCAAGGTCCTGGCAGCTATTTCCATTGTCTGCTTCTCCACCTCAAAGAACGGGTTCAGGGCTAGCGTGGTGCGGAAGAGCTTGCTGAGGTCTGGCATGGAGCATGTCCTCAAAATCTGGCATGCGGAAAGCAACATGGACAAGTTTCAGAGCCGGGGTGGTGTGACAGCTTGCTGAGATCTGGCATGCAGGGGGCATGTCCTCAGAAACGAATTTGGGCAGGACAAGATTTCAGTCACATTAAACATAGGAAGGTTTCAGGGTTGGGATGGCATGACAGCTTGCTATGATCTGGCATGGGACATGTCCTCAGAATGTGACATGCTGCAGGTAAGATACAATGAAGGATGGGTTCAGGGCTCAACTGGTATGGGAGGGCTTACTGGGGACCAACATGGAACATGTCCTGATCAGATTTGTGCAAGGCAATATTTCAGTCATATTAAGTAGGATCTTTACACACACACAAGTGTGAGTTTGTTTCTGCATGCAATTGGGGACCCTGAACAATAGAGGACAAGAAGGTCCCCGATTGACAGAAGGTCCCCGATTGACAACTGTGTACAAAACATATGGGTGGTCTTCTAAAAAAGTTAAAGTACGAACAATAGAGGAACAACAGGGGGTCCCCAGTTGCAGGCAAATACATTAACGTGTGTATTTGCCTGCAACTGGGGACCCCCTATTGTTCCTCTATTGTTCAGGGTCCCCAATTGAATGCAGAAACAAACTCAAACACACAGACACATCAAATGGAAGTTTCTTCAGAGTACTTGTTTGTGATTAAGTGTAGGCCTATGTTGGGCATGAGATCTGAGGAAGAGACAAGAAAACCTGGAATCCTTAAAGAAGACTGACATGGAGTGAAAGCAAAACAAAGGAGCCCCACTTGACAAGTAAAGATTTACAACTATTATCCTCTAAATACTAAACGTGCAACTGTACGAGCCATGGAAGGTTGTCATATACTGTACGATTGTACTTCCCTTTTACCTTAGCATCAGTGTCAAAGTTCCCTGTTTCTAGTCCTTCAACAACATCGGATCTGTTAGCCGTCTTGTACCTGAAACCAAAAGCCAACAAAAACTACTGAAGAAACTCTTGTTTTTTATCAACAACACGGAGCAGTTATTGCTATCCTAACTCTACCAAAGTTTTCAACTCCTTAAATGGAGAAGGTGGTACAGGTGAGCAACTACAGGTGAGGGAAGACTTCAGTTAAGACAACAGATATGTCACTGGCTCTAGAAAAATGTGTGATAAGTCACCAGATTCAGGTTAGGAGTTTTTGATATGGCTGGATTCTGCACATCAAAAGCTACAATTTGATATATGAATGACCCCTGTAGTGCGCCACATTCCGAAGATATATAGACGTTTGTATATCCACATTTTCAGATTCAATAAGAGCACTTTTCGAGAAAATGCTCATAAAGTGTAACGCTTGGAAACACAATACTATGTAGGATCAATTTTTCATCTTTATTCATCAGTATCCATGTTTGTACTCACAAACTCTGAAAATATAAATATTATAGAAACTATTAAAGGAAAAAAACCCCAAAATCACATTTCCGAAGAAATCTTGCCCTTGAGCTCCAAATAGAATGAGCCATTACGTGTTTTGGCATTCCGCAACTTAACCTTAACCGCCCAAAACCTGCCATACTCCAACAGGTTTTGGCAGGTTTGGTACCGCACCTGAGGAACTTGTTGAATTTTGTGAGACTTGGGATGGAAGGCCCGGGGAGATGGTGTTGGATTCTGTGTGAGTTGGAACACACAGGGGTCACTGTCTGCAGTGTCTGGCTTGCT